CACAGATAAGGAGTTATTAACAGTCGAAAGTTTTCTAGCACTGAAGAACTATGATGATAATCGTAGGGTCCTCTCTATGGGCTCGCAGCTTACCGTCGGAGTTTCTCTTGGAGAGCGCCGTCTCGGCCATCGAGCCCTCGCTGTGGGAAGGGTTGACGGGTCGCATGCGGGCCGCGCGGCCTGTGCGCTCGTTGGTCGCGCCTGCCAACCCACACACACGCTCACTTCATCACGGGCTCATGCTTCACTGCAACTCGCAACAAGGCGACCTACTCCGCGCATGCTGCCTCTGCTACCTCCACAACTATGCAGCTTCTCGTGTTACGAATATTTGAAAATTCGTTGTTACGAGTACCTACTGTACTTTGCCCTATTTCCCTTTCCCTGCTATTACTATAATCATGCTTTTTCTTGTTTTCTAATATATTTTATAAACATATTATGTTGTGTTTACCCAAACAATATCGCGAAAGAAAAACTGTTGGAACCAATAAGAATTAACAGTTGTTAATACTGTATGTTAACTTTTGGTTACAGAAGTAAGGGCGCATTATGTAATTTTTTTATTTGATATCTCAGAAATTTATCATTCCTCGTTTTTGTTTCTGTGACGGTTTAACTTTATTTATTTCAAGTACTTACCTATATCTTTTTCATGCTAACTAAATAAATTAGTGTTCGATTATCATAATTAAGTATTCGTCCATGAATAAATATCTATAGAAAACTGATATCACATGTATGATAATAGTTCCAGTGGAATTATTTAGGGAAAGCCAAACTGTATGTTACTTTTATATTTGTGTGTTCAGTATGTAAATGTTCGTGTCAGCCTTTCACCCTAATCATAAGCACGAATCCTCCTGCCAGCCTGTCAGCCTTTTATATTCGCAATATTTTAAATATGTTGAGGTTTGTTGACCAACGATAGCTTTGTCCGGTTGTATTTAAACTGTTTGTTATTATTTTTCTGGCTATCATAATAGAAAAAGAAGTATTTTGTAGTTTTCACATTTTATACAAATTGCTTTTATACAAAAAATAAGTAGAAGGTTTAATCATAGAATTATTGTAAATGCCCACGTGAAATACTGCTGGTGTTGTAATTCATATGTAAAATTAATAAAAATTGTATTGTTATATGTTCTTGTGATGTATCTTGAGTGGAATTTGCATAGACTTATTAAGAATTATTCCTCAGTTAAACATAGATTTAATTTTTGTCATAATGAGGTATTAGGATTAAACGCCTTTTTAAATGTCACGCAATGCAAAACGGGTTGGAATAATAAATGCTCCAGATGAATGCTGCCTACCTACCTACCCTGCCCCATAGATTATGCTAAGTAGGATTACTCTTTCATCTTGTTTTATATTAGAGGGTTCTAGAGAAACGATGGGGATCTTTTATATCTATTTGCTCAGTTAAGTTTCTTGGTTTACTTTATGATATTAAAAGATTTGTACTTTAAATAGAAGTGTAAAAGATTTTCTATATCTTTTTTCTTATCTAATCTTCATGTTAAATAAATTAAAAAAAATAACAAAGTTGTTAGAGAAAACAACAAAAGAAAAACAAAAGAACTACATTTGTTATGCAAAATTACACAGAACTTCAAAGCTGAAAGTATCTTGGTGCCTTGGGATTGTACCGCAATCTTAACTTGCTGCTGTAGTCTCTCTAAGCGACCGTTAGCCCAATCTAGCTCTCATAAATGCTAATCAAATCACAGTACATTATATTTAGCTCAAGCGTTAAGGTATCATTGAGCGTAGTCACTCAACTGCTTTCACAAACACCATATTAAATGTTTCTCATCAAAAACATTTTAATAGAAGAACTCCAGTTTAGTAGAAGAATAAAAAATAACTACACATACCGTTGTTGGCTTACAAAAGGCTGAAAAGGTGTATCATAAATTTCTGCAAATGCTTGGAAAAGGCTTACGTAATATGCTGTCGGTTTGCCCTAGAGTATTTCTGCCTTTGCGAAGGTAATTATACGTCACTGGCATATTTTATAACGGGGCTTTTGGTTGCATTATACGAACACCTAAATACGGTCAATGCAACAACGGTTGCTATTTAACGTCTCGACAAACTATCGATCCATTTGTTATCTCTTTCTTGCTCAGGTGCAAGTGCCTCATAACGATGTTCACACTAGACATAATATAAGTATTTAATGATACACAATGACAAAAATTAAAACTGACTTTATAGAAACCAAACCAATTAAAAGTTAGGAAAAATACAATTCTTTACTTATATCTGAAGAACTTAAGTACATTTAAAGTTAAATTACATTTGGTGTCGGTGCCATGCCAACCCAAGCAGTAAACGGTCAGATCTATCAAAATGTATGGAACTGACTCCAAATATTAATTTATCTTTCAAGGAAAAACCGGAAATAAAATTTACCGATCACCATCCTCTAAATTTTTCGTGTCTTACTACGGGACTTTGGATAAATTTCAGTGGAAAACGGAAAAGCCAAAGAAAAAAAAACCTACTTTTGCTGCAACTGGACCTAAATAAACTTTAGATATAAGTAAAGAATTGTATAATTTCTAACTTTATTGTGGTTTTTTTTATGAAGTCTATTTTTATTTTTGTTAATATAGTTTTTATTTTCCACTTTTATAAGCCAGCCAGAGTGACATCAACTAAGTATTTATTATCTTTTTCATATTTATTAAATTGAGTACTATTTGTAATTGAGGAGTTCTATTGTTTTCTCCGAAAGTACTCATCAGATGTTCACCAAATTAATATGGGACCATCTCGCCAAAAAACTAATCAAACAAAAAATATCATCAAAATGACGAATTGTGAACTCCCTCTTTTTTGAAGTCATTTGTTTCAGTCATAAACCTAGTATTTATAATTTTGAAGTGATTATTTAATAGAGGACTATTTATTAGTATTTTTAAAGAATATCATCTTAGGGCCAGTTTCTTTCAACTATGGAACTAATTTATTATTATTTCACTTTTATAAACTGGGCTGTAACAGCTTACTCGCTACATTTAAAAATATACGCCAACAAAAATGTTACTTACTAAAAGAATTTATTTTTCATTTCGAAGGACTGGTTGCAGGTTGGATCGTTCGTGTTATGATGAGCATGAGCAAGCGTGCACACAGTATAAAGAGTTTCAAAAATGTTTCTTATCCCGGGAAACTCCATCCTTTAATACACATAACAGTATACGAAAACTATCTAAATGGAACCGTCTAGACTAAAACTCATTCCTTGAAATAGTACAAAAAGTACGACGTCGATAACAGGAGTCTTTTATTGTTAAAAGGTCATTGAGTGCTTTCAAAATATAAGTTACTTATACGGACTTTAGATGTTTCTATATATCAATATCAGTTTCATTATTTGTAGTTTTTTTGTAATTTCGAATATCTTAGCATAAACTAGTGGTCACTTACTGTAACTCTATGTAGAGAATGAATAGGTAATATGAATTTGAAAATTCATGTCAAGATCCGTTAAAACCTCTTGTGGTGTACGGAAATTATATTAACAAAGTATATTTGAATTATATCGATATTTTACAATATTCCTACAAACTATCTGGCATGCATAATAAAAGAATGCAAAGCAGTGTTAATAAAATTGCTTAGGTATATTTTATGTCAAGATGACCGAACTTAATAGAAGCTTTGAACGAACGAAGCCATTCCAGTAACTTTAAGTACGCAAAGTCTTATAAGTATTATCTGGAAATTCATAGTGTGAACCACGCTCTATGAAACTAAATGAACTCTTGCAGTCTCAGTATAAATATATTCCACTTCCATATTCTACCGTAGCATTTATAATACGCGAAAGCGATCACCACCTTTAGAAGCCACTCTGTCAAATATACGTGAAGCTTCTGATTGTAGTATCATAAAATTATGTCGAAGCGTCATTTCATCTACGCGGGTGCAATTTATTTCAAAAAGTGAAAAAAATAGAAAGAAGTAGAAGGTAGGTAGAATGTCAGCAATCGTGTCTGGAGCTAAGAGGCGTAGCCATTATCGCCGGAAGACGAAACTCGCTCCGGACAATGGTCCTACGTAGTCAACATACTCGCTTTTCGTGTATTCACATTTCTGGAAGTTCGTACTAAAAAGAATTAATAAGAAACGCAGCGGAAGTTTATCGACTGTAACTGGTCATGCCATAGTGCCGTCTAAAAGATGAAGAATAGAACCTTTAAAGCAGCTTTTCCAACAATGGAGTAGACAACACGCACGGTCCCCTCCCGATGTGCGATTATCTACGGAACAGGGCAATAAATGACATCACACACCATCCCATCAGCATCTACCAGTAAACAACTATAAACTTGGATGATAACGTACGTGTTCGATATCTGAGTGCGCTGTATGTGATGTGATTGATGGCAGTAATTTTCTCAAATAAGATTGTTATATCTGGCTACTCATTTCCAATCCATCTTTGAAAAATTAAGTCAATTTCATTCTTCTTATTCCTCGTTCCCTTTGGTATTCATAAAATTAATGGAGTGCTAGGTTATCCAAGTTTTTTTGCAGCTACGCTCTTCTTTGTTGTGTATAATTATGGTAAGTTTTAATGTTCTAAAGGCAATTCACGTTTGGATATATACAAAGAATTTTGTCGGTTTCGTTTTAGTGCATAGTATTGTAAGTACATTGATTTTTTCAACCTAATCCCGATGTTCAGTAGCAATAGATGTTAATATAATACATAAGTGGACGGTACATAGTCACAACAGAACAAAATCGTTTATTTAATTTTAGTTAAGCAAACACACAATTTTCATTTTCAGCATGCAACATAATATAGGTAAATTTCAATAAATTTGAAACGTAATAATTTAAGTTAATTGAATTAAAATTTAACTTATTGTTTATTTATTTATGTTACAATTGCACACGATCGTGGTAATATTAGTAATGACTGTGAGTATGTGCGAGGGTTGTAGGGGACAGGGGATTGACGGAACAGGCTGGCTTACCAAGGTTTTCAGCGCTGGCGTTGACGTCGTACCGGTGTGCCGGCTTGGAGTGCGGCGCGGGGGAGTGCAGGGAGGTACTCTTGTGACGCCGGATCGTCGGCAGCCGCGACACAAAGGACGCATTGTTCTTGAATGACGCACTCATCACCCTGCTGTCAATACACACAGGCTCGTCAGTCAGTGTAAATCATTTGACAAACAACTTGGAGAACAGAGCAAATATCCGTTTGTAAAAGGTATGGTAATTCATTACGGTCATATTATTTCCTTTTGTAAGTTTTCTAGAGTTTTAGTTCTAGTTTATCAGAATTTTTGAATTACCAAGATTCTAACACAAAATGTATTTAAATATCAAAGTACTGTCTTGTATGTGTACAATAAAGAAGACTTAAATTTGATTTTTGTCAGAAAATAAGGAAATAACACTTTAAGCATAGTTAATAAACAAACAAATATGAAATAGAACTTAGATATGAATCTAAGTTCTATTTCCATTTCAACGTAAGTAACACTTGTTCTGTACAAATAAGAAATAATGAAGGTACCAAAACCGCTCAGATAATACAGAAATACTAGTTTGGTTTATCCATATTGATTTAAGAGAGAATTGAAGCCGGATCCCCAGAGATGGCAATAGCGTAAAATTTTGCTCACTCGCAGTTAGTCCACGTACTTAAATAACATTAACTGTGGTTTCCGCTAGACCCCCTGAAAAAGATATGTGCAAAATATTGAGATATCAAGGAAAATAACTACCTTGTTTGAGGACTTGGAAGAGGAACTTGATGAATTTTCCACGTCGCCACGCTCATTGAATGTTCATCTGCGGCGTAACATCTCCACAGGGCCTGTATTAATGTCGCCGCCGGCTGCCGTCTCCTTATCATATGTTTTTGTCTTTGTTGCTGTTGTACTTTTAAGGCGAACCCCGAGCCCAGTATACCCTATGAAATAAAGTAGATTTTGTTAGTTATATTAGAAAGGCAACAAATTAGATTAATTAGTCATCAGTAAAAGGGTGAAAGATTCTCACAGCAGGAAGCGCGAAGAACGATATTCCTAAGAGCGCACAGAAGGAGGCAATGAATTTCCCCTGCCACGTTTGTGGCACCATGTCGCCGTATCCCACTGTGCATAGCGTGATCTGCAATAAACAACTCACTTGTATAAACTGATTTGTTTTTTATGATTCAACTTTTTTACAACATTTTCAACGTTTAGGTATGTGTACAAAGGATGCATAAAAATACTCACAACTCCCCACCACAGAGCCTCCGCAAAGTTTTTAAACTTGGTGTCGGCAACATCTTTTTCTGCTAAATAAACTAAGAACGACGCGAAGATTAAACCAAGGAATCCTATATACAAAGTAGTTATTAGTTCCTGAAACAAAAGAAAAATATTAATGTTTGGCAATGTATATAAATATATTATATGTAATAAATAGGTGCAAATTTGCACTGAAACAAAAACCAGTGTTATTTAATAAGCAATTTTCTTAACGTTCTTGTTAGATACTTATTGCGGGACATTAGTTGAGCTACATGAAAAATGGTGTGATTTATTAAATGAGTCGCTTGGTGTGTCGTCGCGGCGGCGCGGTAGAATGGAGAGCGGCAAACAATGACTGGACTGATTTGAGATAATAATGTTTTACGAGCGCGACAAGAATACAATAATAAAGCTAACACTGAATGACAGACAAACACAGCGACTTTCGCATGTTCCTTAATGGTGCGGACTACAGTTCTATTTTCAGTTATATAGATCCGGAGGAGGGACTGCCGCCCTGTTTGTTCGATCCTTACGAAGGAAGTTTGTGAATTTGTTTCTTAGGTTTTCACGCACATCGCTCATTAAATAAAACTAGTTTTTACGGGTTAATGCACGAAACTTTATTTATTTATTGACGTTTCTTAGCCTTTACAGGCTTCGGCGTCAGAATAAAAATTATTTATTCTGACGATGATTTTTAAAAACTAGTTTTATTTAAGTTTGTGAATATTGAATTTTAGATTACTTACATTTTGTTAAGCCCATATTGGGCTGCGAGAGAAAGAAAAAACTAGTTACTTAGAACGTATGAAATGCAAAGTTTTCCCGGCAAACAAGCAGCATTGATTTACAAACTATGTTGTAGTAGGCGATGGGCTGACATCTTGTAACGGTTGTTTAGTAGGGACAACCAATTAACAAGCATAAAGCCGGCCTGATGATTAAAATCGGCCGCCATATCCTATAGACTCTTGCGATACCGAAGCATCATTCACGTGTGGCCCATCCTGACTCCATCCCCTACCTCGTGGAGATTTAGAAAATTTACCCACTGACAAAAGCAGCACCAAAAAATAAGTAAACAAAGTATGCTATTGCCTATCCTTTGTAGCGATTTTTATTATCTATGAACCGCGACCCTTTACAGGAATAATGGCGACCTGAAGCAATATATGTTTTAAATAATAAATGTAAAATAAGACAGTGGTGTATGAGATAAAATGAAAAATAAGTACGAGTCAAGTGGGAGTACCTACAAGGTTTTTTTTTATATTTTATGAAGCATGCAAGCCGACGGCACACTTGATGGCAAGTGATCACCGTCGCCCATAGACATCTGCAACACCAGGAGTGTCACAAAAGCGATGCCGGTCTTTAAGGAAGGAGTACGCTCTTATTCTGAATTTTTACGGGTCGTATTAATTGGTCTGGTAAGGCGCTGGTTACGTTCTATATAGTTAAAGGCACAGAGGCCCAAGCACGAACTTTGACAGCTCCGCAATCGTATCGCATCCACAAAGTTTCTATGAAAACTAAGCAGCGGCTCCTTATGCGCTAGCATAGTGATGCTCTGTATAGTGATACAGAGTGGTCCAATAATTAGTGACGTCAACAATTTTCTTAGATTCTTCGCACCTGGGGGTATCCGAAAATACTCTATGTATGTTCAGCGATTTTTCTTAGTTAGTTTTCGAGATATATTTTTTTGTGTATTTTTAATGATTTCTGCCAGCGAGGTTTCAAAAATTCTTATTTTTTTCGTAGTAGGTATTTGCATTTTTTTTTGTGACATAATTGTCTTGAATGTTATTTTAATAAAAAAAAATAAAAAATCAAAAACCCGACTGCTTAATTAATTTACTTGTACTAAAAACTGAAAAGAAAAAAACAAGTCCAGTAGCCAGAATTCTGTAAAGTAATATTTAATTAATACACAATTAAATAGTTTCATGACCAATACACACATAAAACAATTATAAAATTCTAATGCAGAACATAACGTCTTCAATAGTCGGGGTCGGGACCCATTCAATATTTTAGATCGGATCGAATATTCCCAATAATGGGTCCCGACTGTTAAAGACGTTATGTTCTACATTAGAATTTTATAATTGTTTTATGTGTGTATTGGTCATGAAACTATTTAATTGTGTATTAATTAAATATTACTTTACAGAATTCTGGCTACTGGACTTGTTTTTTTCTTTTTGGTTTTTAGTACAAGTAAATTAATTAAGCAGTCGGGTTTTTTGATTATTTAAATTTACTTTTTTTATTTTACACTTTTTAGTTAATATTATCGATCATCAGATAGCAAATTCCGCAATCTTGTCATTTCATTGAGCGAGTTAATATCGTGGGGATTATGAAGTAACTTGCGAGGGTCTAAACTACTAATAATCAATCCATCAAGAGACCTAACCCGGCTCAAGGCTACATAAGCTTGACCTTTTGCAAAAATACGTGAACTTAAATCAACCACAGCTCGGTCTAAAGTAGTTCCTTGTAACTTATGTACAGTAACACTCCCGCAACCCCTAACCCAGGGACATTATGTTTAATGGATTTGTCATCAAATACTACAAAACCAGCCTGTGGCAATTCTCCAGGTTCAATTTGGTCCTTCCGAAGAGCTGGCCACTCAATTGCCCTCACAACACCCATTGCTCCGTTGACAAGGCCGTGATTAACGTGCAAATTTCTCCGTAACATAACTCTTGATCCTAATCCGATTGTCAAACATTTTACAATTCCTCCAGTTTTGTTAGGGTCATCAGAAATATATGCATCTTTAGGTTTTTGACCATATATCTTAATTTCAACTGATACATCTACTGCATGTACTTTATATAATTTTGTGTTGTTCTTCAATATGGATGTCATCTTAATATTATGTTCATCAACCTGTTGAGTGGTAGGAAAAACTCGAATTACTTCATTGAGATCATTTTCATCTACTCGTCGGCTATCTAATATTTCCAATTGTTGCATAGTCAGCTGTCCCACTCTTAGGTTATTTAATATATCCACAAATGTAGTATCATGCCCTTGTCTCATATTTTGAGGTAATTCACAGAAATCAAAAAGCTTCCAGAGGTTAACTTCAGCTGTTAACGTCGCAGGTTGACGAAAGTAATAAGCCCCGCCAGTTGTTTTCGACACAGGTGGCAATTGCATTAGATCGCCAAACAAAATTATATTACAACCACCAAAGTGAAGTTGATTGTGTTTGAGTTGTTGCAGTCGTAAATTTATATTTCGTAGTGTTAGGTACGGCACCATAGAAATCTCATCTATTATTACCCAATCTATAGATTTCCATTTTTGTCGTTGTTTTTGAAGACGTTCGCCAGTCAAAAGTCGCAGGTTTTCTGGTCTACCCTTTTCTATTGGTAGTGTGAACGTCGAATGAAGGGTACTTCCACCTATCAACCGGGCTGCTACACCAGTTGGTGCAGTCACAATGATAGATTTTTCTTGTATATTATTATTACGGAGCCTCCTTACTTCTTCCACGATTAATTTTAATGTAAACGTTTTTCCCGTTCCGGCCCCACCGGTAACAAACATTCGAAGAGGATTTTCATTGTCATTATTTAACAGTTTCTGAGACAGTCTTTTGAAAAGATTTCTTTGCTGAATGTTCAAAGAGGAAACAGCACGTTCAAATTCTGTATCAGAAAACCTTATTTCATTTTCTTCGAACTCTTCTTCTTGATCTAATAATATGCAGTTATCGTTCTCCCTTCTTAAAGGCAGTTGCGTATTATTATTTTCATCGTGTTCTATCATATAAGTCGCTGCGTTTTCTGCCACTAGACGACTAATAGCTTGTTGAATTTCCGATTCCCATCTTGACATTGTTTCCGCATTGTAATCATTATGTAATGGCTGAAGCAAATGCCTTTTACTCATAAAAGCTTCTTTGGCAGTTTCAAACCCGTCCAATAATTCTTCTTCTGCTCTAAAAGGAACATGTGTTACCAACAGGGAATAATAATAGGCCTCTTGGTCTGAAGAAGCCGTATAATATCTGGTCCGTAAAATTGCGGGACGAGTTCTAGCTTTCATTCGTCCTGCATTATCTAATAATGTGATAATTCTCGGTCGAGTTACGGTATTCTCATCATCATGAGCATAAGCATCAGCATCCTGATTATCTTCAGACATATCAATGTTTGTTATTGTCTCAAACTGAACTGCAAATTTGCCTAAGCTTATAGATTCCAAATTATGGGGTCGACAAACATACTTATCAAACACATTTTGAAATGGTTCCGAATTTTCTGAAAAATCTACGCGTAACATACGGTATCTTTGAGATGGAGCACAAGTATTAACAAAAACGCATTTTCGAGAACTATCACGTAACTTCAAATGGCAGAGACGATAAGCACATTCCGTTGCTGACACTTCGCGATGTGTTAAAATGGCGTTTTTGTTAATACTTGTGCTCCATCTCAAAGATACCGTATGTTGCGCGTAGATTTTTCAGAAAATTCGGAACCATTTCAAAATGTGTTTGATAAGTATGTTTGTAAAACTTCCGCCTCGTTCTTGAACTTTTCTAATAGATTCCCGTATAAACCTAGATATTTCAGCCGGTTCAGACTTCGATATATATTTTGAAATGTAATATGCTACACCCAAAGCAGAACCACATGGTTGGATGTCTATGTTTGCGCGCCAAACTTTCAATATTCTAGGATTATAATTGTTAATCATCGTTTCATTAGCATTTCTCTTAAGAATGCAAAATCTGCCACCATTGCGTACAGCATCTTCATCATCCAAAATTTTAGTTGTACCTGAAGTCGATCGCGGAAAACTAAATCGACATTGATTTCCATTTTTAAAACAAGTATGAGTGTGTTTGTGCGTTTGCAAACGTCTAACTAAATTATTCATTTCCGGATCATCCCCTGCATCAGGTATTTCGCAAGTAATTACACTATCTATTAATTCAATGCCTTCGCGGCTTTCAAAAGAAGGCATGTTCTGGCACCATATCACCATATGCACATGTGGTACCACGTAATTGAAATTCTATTCGCCACCAAAAATCTTCCACTTTTCGAGCCAAAATCGGATTGGTGTCTTTCTTTAGA